TTTGTTCGAACAAAAGTAAGAGAAATTTAGGAGAAGAATACGAACATGTTCTTGTAGAAGGACCATTGCTCCTAAAAAAGGTTGTAAATGGAATGAAGCATTGTAGTTATGATGTGCTGAAGTGGGAGTGTCAGAAATGGTAGCCAACTTCAAGGCATTTAAGCACAGCTATCTTTGATATATTCAGTACATATAAATTTTCATAACTAAAAGTAACAGTTACTGGATTGTGGTGTAGAACTACATGCATAAATAGATGTAGGATTACATGATAAAACCATTATAAACTGCCTAAAATGTTTGTCCTGTGTTTTTTCCTGAATCAATTACCTAAAGGTAAAATCCCACACACACATACATATATATAACTGTCCCATGTGACTCTACAGTACTTAGGTCTACAGAGGAGTTCACTGTGGACTCCAGCTGCCCCCATTCTGTAGGTGAAACACAAGCTTCAGAATCAGCTCCACCGTCACACCTGACAGAGTCCACACCCGACAGAGTCCACACCCGACAGAGTCCACACCCGACAGAGTCCACACCTGACAGAGTCCACACCTGACAGAGTCCACACTGGACCCAGCCCATGAACTGAGACACAGCCATAAAGGTTTGGGCAGAACTGCTGTGGCTGGTTTTCTCTAAACATGGAGCTGTGCATCATGGGTAAACATCTACTTTAGTCTCATCTGCCCAAAGGACTTTAATCAAGAGATTTTGTGATTTCTGTTCAGTAGCAGCATCATCATGTTTAACATAGAGCAGAAACAGGAAGTTGGAGTAAAACCTGTGGTCTAGATAAGAGATGTGACTGTAAGAACATCATTACAAACAAATACTGACCAACCTGTTGATTTAAACAGAGATTATGAGCTGAYAATCTGCCCATGTGCTGTATTTACACCAGTCTGAGTGTTTGTGTTCAYTGAGTTAATGAAGATATATTAGGAGTACCTGGGTAAGCTCATGGCAGTGGGCTGACTGCTGCCCCCCAGGCTGAGAACAGAGCTGAAGTCCTGCAGAGGGGACTGGAAGACAACACGTGGCTCCTCAGGAGGAGCCATCTCAGTCGTGTCAGGACTGAGGGACGTTTTAGCTGCTGGCTCTGAAACCAGAGCAGCTTTCCTCCTGCTCAGTCCAAACTGACGGATTCTGTCAGGCTGGATTGTTTGACAAGACCGAGAAAAAAAGAAGAAAAATATTGTAAATATACAATAASAAATTAATTCTGTTGTGTAAAATATCCCAACTTGGAGAAACACAGTTTCTGAGCTGCTGACCTGCTTCTCAGGGTCGATGGCTCCTGTCGCAGCCACTTTCAGTTCCAAGTCCTTCTCCCTACAACAGAACACAAACGTGTTGATGACATCACTTCCTGCTGCAGCTTTAGACCAAACACCGCTGAATGAAAACCTGAGGAGGAGTTGGTCAGAGGATGAAGATGAGTGAAGTCTACCTCTTCTTGTTGCGGTGCTGCTCAGCGATCTGCTCCTGCAGCTCCTGTCTGTAGCGCTCCTTCTTCCTCTGCAGAGCCTCGTCTGAGTCAGCTGCCCCTGAAAACAGGACACCACCTTACACCTGCACATCATTTATAGTGTTTGATTTAAGTGTAGTCACTCTGACTGGAAACTTGTATTATATTGTTTGATGGTRTGAACTTTTCAGGTTTGTGCATTTAGAAACGTTTAAACAATCCTTCTCAAAGTATGGTGGACGAGAGATCATTTTTATTTTGCAGYGTTTGCACCTGTCAGGTACCACATCAAACACATCAAAAACACATTTTCCATCTCATTTGGTCATTTCTGACACATCTCCACAGATTTTTAGTCTGTTAGATTTTTAAGACCTTGTAATATTTAGAATATAAATATATTTTTTACCGATCATAAGGCCTGTGACGAACTCAACATCCTCGTTTTTGCTCGGTGCTCTCCATCTCCTGTTTTCTCTCTTAACACCTGCTAAAGTTTCCATTTCATCCCTAAAATGAAAAATATAGAGAAATAAAAACAAAGTGAAACATTGAAAGGAACAGGAGCAAAGCTTTAATAAGTCTGTATTAGTGTGTACAGGTAAAGACTGTTACCTGGTTCTAGTGGACTGGCTCCTCCTCCTCGTGGCCTCAGCTGCCTGCAGCCTGCCTGCAGCCTGCTCCTCCTCCTCTGAAGACCCCTGCAGRTCTCCAGGGCTGAGGATCAGTGATGCTGGATCCTTGTCTTCTGTAGAGAGGGGCAGCGCTCTGTGGGACCCCCGGTCAGCATGTCTCTGCAGCACTGAGCTGTGTTTCACACAAACATCAGTCTGATCTTCAGACGGAAGCTGCTGGAGAAACAACAATCGTTGTTGTTTTAAAGCAGACCAGTTATGGGTCCTAGAAATGTTTHTGGTATGTCTGTGGACTATCCAGACCATGTTCATTCAATTTAATGCACAAAATAATTCTCAGATAATAAAATTTCCCATTTTCTAGTTCTGCTGCTCTGACTTCTGTTCAGAAGAGCTGTTTATGTTAATGAGCTCTGTTGGTAACGCCCTCCAAAAATCTGTTGACATTAACTCCGCCCTCCAAAAATCTGTTGACATTAACTCCGCCCTCCAAAGCCAGCGTTTACGTTAGCATGGCTAATAATAGCAGAAGCTCCGTTGTACAACCATATGAGACCCAGAGGCAGAGTCGTGGTCCCAGCTTCTTTTTTTTCTCCCCCTCCTCTGCTCTGCGCTCACTCTGCATGCTGTTACCAGAGCAGGGAGCAGCAGCGGTCAAAATACCTCAGAAACTCAAACAAATAGGCTTTAACAAGGCTTTAATAAGATAAACTATAGAGCTACATGAGAAGATGTGTTCATTATGAATGAAAATAAATAAATAATTAAATAATGTACATGCTGGTCTCAAACCCTGGTCTCTCTCTGGTCCAACACTCTACCCATTGCCCTGTTGGAGGCTTGTTGTGTAATCAGCTACACATTACACAACAACACAGTGACGTCTGTTTATACTGAGGAGGAGAAGCTTCACCCGGGGGTTGCTAGGTAAGGGGCTGAACGCAGGTTCTGGTGGGTTGTCGTACGGCTTGTGACATCACAAAATGACGGAAGTATAAAACTTGTCGTTAATATACATTAAAAATACATTTACTTACAGTAAATATGCCCCTGGGTGCATKTTTTTGGTCCTAGGACTGTTTTTTTAAGAAGTACATACCCAAAGTTGAGTAAAAAAAACCTTTAAAAAGTGAATTTTTCATAATAGGTCCCCTTTAAAGCATTAAGAAGGTACAACAACTACTGCTCATGGTTCTGACAGACACCTGCTGACTGCTCACACTGGCTACAAATGTCCTTTCTTCTATTAGTTGGTGGTAAAATGTGAAGTTGCCGCAGGAAGGTTGAACTGTGTTTACTGACTGTTTGTGCTTCTAACACTCACAGAGACACATTATCACTGGTTCACAAACTTATCAGCCTTTGACCCACAAAACAGCAGCAGAGACCTGAGCCCCCAGCTGCTGTCGGTTCATAAACATTGTTTTCATGTCAAATAAACAACAGCATATAACATTATTTATTACGCTATTTGTGTCYTTTTTAAGTACACTAATCCAGAAGTTACCAAAGTGGGGGCCGCCAGGTGGCACTAGGGGGGCCTCAGGAAGCTGGATGGTTTTTATTTCTTTAACTTGTTTTAACGTCAGATGTGTCAGGTGAACCTGGACAGGTCTGGTATGAAAAGAAACCTAAGAATGTTGGCTAAAAGCTCATGGAAACTGTTTTTACATTCAGCAAACAGKTCAAACGKTAAACAGTTTAATCAGAAAGTAAAAAAAAACTGTTCAAAATGTCATCAGTGCAAACCTGTACAGGAAAAAAAAACATAACTTTTATAAAGCAAGTCAAAATACATATCTAAATATGATGTAAAGTTGTTGAAAGTTTTACTTGATTTTGAGTGAATACGCTCAAACTGAAGTTAAATATAATTTCTCATTATTTTATATAATATATATATATGGTGACAAATAAATGTTTGGATAATTTGTCAAAGGTCAAACATTCAATAACAAGTCTTTTAAGGCAGGTAAGTAAAAATAAATAACTTTATGATGTAAAAACTTCAGATTTGTTAACATGTATTAATGGAACCATCATGGTCTGTCCTGTGCAGAAAGACTAAATTATGTCTTTATTAAAACCTCTGTAACTTTGCTCCAGTTCATGTTAGCAGCATGAATCTTTGCACAGGTGATGTTCACAGGTAGAGTGTTTAGCCTGATTCATTATGGTTTTAAATAAGTTATATACTGTCTCATGAAAAAATATTCAGGTGAGAATGAAAAAACAATTTAAAAAATATGTTTCATTCTTCATATGTCTAAAACCACAGCAGCTGTTTTAATACTGACACTTCTGATGAAATCTCTCAAAAGTTAGTTTTATGTTGACAATAAGATATTTCAGTAGTTTGTAAATTCTGAGATCCATGTGATGTGAGAGCTGCAGAGCTGTCATCACTGTGCATGGGCCTCCTCAACGTGCACTCCATCAACAACAAGTCTTTTGCCTTAAATGAACTTGTTATGAAGGACTTTCTGTTTTTAACTGAAACATGGCAGCAAAGACTGCAGTRTATTCATCTGCAGGAACTCTGTCCAGGTAACTYTTCTGTCCTCGCAACACCTCAGGAAGCGCGCAGAGGCGGTGGATTAGCGGCTGTGTTTAAAGATGGTTACTCCTGCAGACTTGTTCATTCAGCCACATTCTCTGCATTTCAGCTTCAAATAATCAAAGTTGGCTCTTTGAAAACTTTTTACTGTACTTTAATTTACCGTCCTCCAGGTGCAGCCAGTGTGTTTTTATCTGAAYTYACTGAGCTGCTGTCTGCCATCATTAAGCTGGAGAATGTTTTAATATTGGGTGATTTTAATCTACATATTGATGATGTTTCATGTAAGGCAGCTGCTGACTTCATCTCCATCACAGACTCATTTCATTTTACCCAGCATGTGTGTGTGCCTACTCATAAAAAAGACCATAAAATCTAAAATCAGTTGGATGTGGCTAACGTTTTGAACTGGTTTCAGTTTTAGACTTCTGATGACTAGCTCATTAACATCCRTCTGTAACAAATACACACACATGCACACAAAGAGGTAAAAGCATCGTCTTACAGTTCATTTCTTTAAACAGGAACATTTGTTGTCAAACTACCTGTCAGAAATTTAACAAAACTCTTAAATCATTTAGAAAAATCAAAGTTACAGATCAGCTGGAAGATATTAAAGAGACGTTTACCTTGATGGTTCTATCATGAGGTCTTAAAGGTCTGTASTCTGCAGGGTCCAAGTGGTTTTTCTGCAACACAAAATGCTTGTTTTGACTTCAGCGTGGTGAAGTAGAAATCTGTCTAATCCCCTTCAATCCTAACTCTTGTCTGGATCCATCAAACCTACGTTGACTGGCTGTGAAATGAGACGGTCCAGCCTTCACATGACCACACAGTGTTTGTGTGACCACACACAACATTACCACAGTGATTACCACGGTTTATATCATGGACCTTCATGTACTCATGTCTGTTAACTGAAGGAATAACTTCACAATTAAACGATACACATAAATAAACAAGAACAATAAAGCTAAACCCAGATTATTAATCTGAGTTTAGCTCCAGTCTCAGTATATGTAGTTGGATTTTATTTAACATCTCGTAGCAGAATCAGCTAAATTACTAAAAATACATTGAAAAGCAAATTATTTCAGTCTGATAGGAATACAAACAATTAACTAACTTACAATTAAATATTGAATAATGCTTTATTAGATTCACATTTCTTCCAATCAATTCATTGAAAACATCCGTTTAAACCAGGAGTGCCCAAACATTTTCCTGACAGGGCCAAAATTAATAAACATTTTCCTGAGAGGGCCAAAATTAAAAAACATTTTCCTGACAGGGCCAAAATTAATAAACATTTTCCTGAGAGGGCCAAAATTAATAAACATTTTCCTGAGAGGGCCAAAATTAAAAAACATTTTCCTGAGAGGGCCAAAATTAAAAAACATTTTCCTGAGAGGGGCAAAATTAAAAAACATTTTCCTGACAGGGCCAAAATTAAAAAACTTTTTCTTTGAGAGGGCCAAAATTAATAAACATTTTCCTGAGAGGGCCAAAATTAAAAAACATTTTCCTTGACAGGGCCAAAATTAATAAACATTTTCCTGAGAGGGCCAAAATTAAAAAACATTTTCCTGAGAGGGCCAAAATTAAAAAACATTTTCCTGAGAGGGGCAA